GCTTCTTTTTCTTTAATATAAAAATATTTTGTAATGGTGCACAGGAAACTTCGATTGGAGATTCTCCAGGTTAGTGCTTGTTTTGAGGATTTATGATGCATTTACTCAATCAAACCCCTGTCGGCTGTTCCGCCCCTCTGACCTTACACATTCTATTACAATGAGTTTTGCAGTTTTGCACACTTTTAAAAAAAAAAATGTCATTAACTGTTAGGGAATCTTACTTGAATACTCAGTACCTATGATGTTCTAAGACCAGACCTTACGCATGATATAGAGGAAGCCAGTGTTGCAGTAAACCCTCAACGCTGCGTCTGTCTGAAGATGTGTAGTTCTAAAAAGCAGAGCCTGTCCCGAACATATGGTTTGCTATTAGGAAAAAGAAAAAAAAAGAAAAAAAAAAGAAAAAAAACCCGAACCAACAACCAAATGACCCAACAAATGAGATTTCTGAACTGGCAGTGTCGTACGATTTGTTCGTAGGGGTAGGGACGGGAGTAGGGCTTGAGGTCCCCTTCGGTGTGGAATTGGCGTGCCCGGGCCGCAGGTGACGGAGGCGCGCAAGCGCTGTTCGCAGGGATGGGAGGAGCTGACAGCATCGCTCTCTCCGTACGGCGTGAATAGCTGCCCCCAGACGGACAGGGTTTTCAGATGTAATACACCCGCCCCTTCTAATTAACTTACTGGTGCTGACGTTAAAGTTCATTAGCTGTGTTCTCGCCTGGGTAACACCTGTGTATGGAATCGGTAAGGGCCCTGTACAACAGCATTAATGGTAGGCATTGAGTGAGACAAGGCAGGACTTCCAGCAATTACGAGTGGTAAACGAAGGTATAAAGTGCTTTTTTTTTTTCTTTTTTTTTTTTTTTGGTATCTGTTGGTCTATTTTGCTCATCAGATTCATGATTCTAACTTCTAACAAAGCTGATAAAATATTTTCTGACTTAGAGGTTTAATTAGGCTTTAATAGCTTAATGGATCAAGATTGCAGATTCCAGCACTCGTTATTCCCACTGTTGCTGACAAGCAGGAGGTGGTTACCTTGGGACGTGTCGTTTAACTCTTACCCTTCAAATCATGTTTCACCGTGTCTGTTCCTAACCGTTGAGAGTCGTGTTGGCTAATAAACAAAAACGTTCATGCTTTAAAAGTATTCGGGTGTTGACACTGCTGCGTGTCCCACTTTGGGTAATAAAAGATTGGATCGGTGCGGTTCCGGAATGTAACGCTGCGGGCCGGATTGGAAATCATGACGCGATGGGCTTTTGCACTGTTATTTTTCCTTTGGAATGTGAAGGTTGGAATGAGGGTTTTGATTTTTTTTTTTTTTGAATGTTTCGATGTCTTTGAGAAGCCTTGCTTACATTTTATGGTGTAGTCATTGGAAATGGACAAATGGCATTATATATATTATATATATAAATATATATTATACATACTCTCCTATACTTTATTTCAGTTACCACCCCCATAGAAGTTGACAAGAATTACTATGACTGAAAGGGTTTTGAGTCCTTATTAAAACTTTATTTATGACAGTATTCATAACTAGCTTGAGCTGCATTCTGTAGGTAATCTCTCCCCGAGTTTCCGGACTGTGTGCTTAAACCCTCCCGGATGTGCAGCAGCTTCCGTGTCTGAGACTCCTTGAAGGCATCCCTTCGGTAAGAGCCTCCCGTCCGGCCCTGGCGCATCCCCTGGTCACTGGTAGCTCCACTCGAATGCTTGCCACAGCTCCTGAAGGGCAGTTGTATAAATAGGATCTGGATTCGTTCCTGTGGCACACGCTGTAAACTGAAGTGGGGTTCACATGCAGCATCGAATGTTTCAGCTTTCAAAAAAAAAAAAAAAAAAGAGAAAAAAAAAAAAAGAGATGCTAGTGTGCAAGTTCCATGTTTAGTCATAGCAAATGTGTGCAATATGTTAACGATGCCTGTGGTTGCCACGAAGTGCCTCGTTTACCTTTTAAATACTGTTGGAAAGTGTCGTGCATGCAGATGGATGGGGTGGGACTGTGCACTAAAAGGGGCTCCAACTGCGGTGTTTGGCAGAGCTGCCTTTCTCTGCCGGTTCAAATTTCCAGTCTGTTTCCATATAGCGCATATATATATAGATACTAAAAGAAAAAAAAATCCGTCTGTTAAGCAGCCTTACTCTGATTCAGCCTCTTCAAATACTATTGTGCTGTGCAGCAGTGGCTCTGTGTGTAACGCTATGCACTGAGAATACACAACCCCAGTATGACATGTACAGGATAATGCCTCATACCAATCAGATGTCCGTTTGTTATTGTGTTTAACAACCCTTTATCTCTTAGTGTTAAACCTCCACTTAAAACTGATTAAAGTCTCATTCTTGTCACCGTGTGGGTGTTTTATTGAAGTATTTTCAGTATGGAGATGGTCAGCTAAGATACTTTGCCCGTGAGATCTTGAGCGTGATCGTTGGAGCGAAGGACACTCCTTGGCGTCAGGGGACCTTAGGGGAACCGCAGCTTAAACCCCTTTGGGTTAGAAGATTCAGGCAGGTGCAGGCATCGGGAGTGAGCTTGGATCCTTCACCGCGGTGCTGTCGTGATGGGATGCATTGGAAGTGAGCTCGGATCCTTCACCGCGATGCTGTCGCGGTGGGATGCATTTCCTGGAGAATGAAACCATTTTTAGTCTCCAAGTAAAAGAACCCTTCCCGAAGTGTGCACTACCTTGTTTTTAGTGTCGGCTGGCGTGTCTCCAGCAAAAAGATGCCAGTCAAACCCGAGAAGTCTTTTCCTGAGGTAGCTCTAAAGCGGCAGTGAGGTGCACTTTCTCCCCCACGTGTATCGAGTACGTAGTCTGGGGTTCCTTCTGGTCTTGTTGCTTATCTGTTTTCAAACGAGACTTCAAACTGGTGCTTTACTTGAGACATGCGTGGTGTTCTCCTTTTGTGTTATGGTTGCCCTTTGAGCCTCTACGAGGGACATGGCTGGCCCCAGGAGACCGGGCGCTGCTCTGCGCCCCGCGCGTCCCGGGGGCGCTGAGTCGGGTTGCTGCAGGTAACTCCTGTTGCTCCTCTGTCCTTCCCACCGGTGGCAACGTCAGCCCCGCGTCGCATCTGGCCGAGCACCTCCCAAAACCGCACGTGCCAGGGAGAGGTTTGGTGCTGCGGCCTGTCCCGCTCTCCGGCCGTAAGGGACGTGGGAAGTGTTTGCGGTGGAGCGCCTGCCCGCTGTGTCCGGCCCTTTCCGGGGAGCGACATGGCTACGGCTTCGCGCCGTTCTAAGGACGCAGCAGGCACTGCTGCCCAATCTGGCAATGCACGCTCCTCCTCCTGGGTAAGCTTGTTTTTCATCCAGAACGTGGAAGTAGAGTGGGAAGGTGTAGAGAGGACGGGTGGGAAGCCTTAAGGAAAGGAGTCTGGACAGCGTTCAGTATGTTGAGTGGCTTCTATAAATACTAGATCTGTCTATGCGAAGGGATTCCAGTCTGGAGACGGGTGAAAAGCGCTGTCACAGTGTGGATGGAGCTTTGCGTTTGACTTGCACTCATGACCAGAAGTCCCATGCTCCGGTCCTGGGCAGCTAAAAGCCGCTCCTATGAAAAACTGTTCCTTTTTTCCATTTACGGCTACCGTACGAGCGCTCTGGTGAGTAAGGAGATGGTTGTGCTTCCTGGGGTGGTGCCGGGTGCCTGCGTGGGGGACGCACCCACGTGCTCCATCCCCACTGGTGGTGCTGGTGTCCTCCCCTGAGCACCCCTCCTGCCCAGAGCTTCGCTGCCGGTGCCCCGGGGAGCTCTGGCTGCCTGCGATGTCGGCGGCAGGCAGCAGCTCAGTTCCCACGGGTCTCTACCGATGGCCATGGAGTGATTGTTAATAATTAACTGCATCTTTTTTTAAAACAGCAGCCAGAGTTATAAATTCCACTCTTTTAAGAAGGAATTCTGTTGGTAGCAGACTCTTCTAAAAAACATTTTTTTTTTTGGTTTTTTTTTTTGCAGTTGGTTGGCATTTTGGTTATTGAAGTGAGTGATGACATTTGCTAGTGATGACGTTTCCGTATCAGCCTAACCAGGTTCCCCACAGCAGCACAGCGCGGTGCTCCCGGGCCCTTTGCCGCGGGGAGATGACGGTGCCCCTGGCCTGGGTGCAGCAGGAGCCGGGGGGCACAGCAAGGTGCAGTCGGACCCCGCGAGGGGGGAGCCAAGGAACCCCCCCAAAGAACCAGCCCTGCAAGCTGAGATGTTGATACCAAGGGAGGGCAGGTCAAATAACAACCTGGCTCCATTTTTGGAAGGTGTCTTCTCAAAAACGTGATCTGAATCGCTTGCTACTTCTGCTGCTTTGGTTTCTTCTCAACCTTATTCTCTGGTAGCTTCCCAACCCCCCCCCATTCCCCCTCTAGCCTTCTTGGTAGTTCTGGTCCTTTTTTTGTACAACTGGAAGAATCTTCTGCCAGGCAGATGAGAAAATCCATTTATTTTGAACTGATGGGTCTATGAGAATAAAACCCCATGTTGGGGTGGTTTTGCCTTTTTGGTATCTCTTGATTCCTGTGCTTGGAGACTTTGTATGGTTGTGCTTTCTTACGGTGTTCCACTATTTTTTTTGTGTGTTCCTTCTCATTTTCTGCTCTTCTTCTGTGCCTTCAAACTTTCTAGCCATGGTATCCTTCTTGCAGTATGGGACAGGTAGTTCTGTTCTGCCTGGTTTGCTTTTTTTGGTTGATTTGAGGGTTTTTTTGTCTGCATACGAAGCGTTCGTCTGAAGGCATAGCGAGGAGAAACGCTTTTAGGCTGCTTTTCTTGAAAGAAGAGCTCTGAAAAACGGCAGGGTTGTGCAAGTTCAGCAGAGGCGTTGGCCCGAGTGAGCTGCTGCTGTGCCGCATGAGCCGGCTCGTGCTTGCCCAGCCCGACGTGCACTGGACTTCTAATGAGCAACCTGTGTGGAGAACCTTCTTAATTAACTGCTGGGCTGTGCTTTCCAGT